GGAAGGGCTGATGATGGACAGGGAAGGGCTGATGATGGACAGGGAAGAGCTGATGATGGACAGGGAAGGGCTGATGATGGACAGAGAAGGACTGATGGACAGGGAAGGGCTGATACTGTCAAGAAATAACTTTTCCTGCCGCTGTGACTGCTGCTGCCCACTGGAGGGTCACACGTGAATTCCAATACTGACCCTTGCTAACTTGGCTTTTTAAGTGAAGGGCCGAGATGCCGCTGCTCCCCGTGAAGCTCCTGGGGTAGGGAGGAGAACTGTAAGCATCATCTAGATGCCAGAGAGGTTTGGATGCAGCCACAACTGACCATGTGCTGACCTGACCAGCAGTCCCAGGACAGCACACCTCCAACTTCAAATGGTCTCCATCACTGTGATTTGGACAGGCTTAATATGTTTTCTTTTCTTTTGTTTAAAAAAAAAAAAAAAGGCCTGGCTCTGGAGGAATGCACTTTGTTTAAACAGTGTCTGGAAGGGGCCAATATATCTTCCACTTTAATTTACTTTTTGGTAATTTATTGTCAGCTTAGAAACGCGAATAGGTTCCCCGCTTCGTTTTCGTTCTGCTTTGCAATGTCAAAACCATTAAGGTGAAATGCGTAAGGAATTCTTGCTTCAGCATCTTTGCTTTTCCGGGTGGAGCTTCTTCAAGGGATGATTAAACCAGGCTCCTCTGTCCGTTTTTGCCTTGTCATCTTCTAAAGGAAACTCGGGTTTCTCAGCGCTGAGCACTGAGCACCGTATGATTCCCTTCCCCCTTTCTCATCCATAGGAATTTTTGAAAAAGGAATTCAGTGAAGAAAATGTCTTATTTTGGCTAGCGTGTGAAGATTTCAAGAAAATGGAGGACAAGAATCAGGTACCTTCTGCCTTCTGCTTCGCCATGAGCTTTTTCCCTCCTGTTATGGTCACAGCCGCCTGTTGCCTAGATTTGGGAAACTACCCAGACTGTCCTGATTCATACTAGATCTGAGGGACGATTTCAACTCTCCAATTGGTGCCTAGTGCTGACCAATATTCAAAGTAGATGTAAACATTTGTCCTTCTGTTGACGGGTTCCTCCATGAATAAGTCATGAGGGTGCTCCCCAAGGTGATGCTGGTGTTGTCAGAGCCAAGCAATGGATTAGCAGACGTCTGGCTGTGAAAACACACCCTTCATCAGGTGGATCCCGTCTGTGAAGGTGTGACCCTCCAGTAGCCGGCAGGCATTCTCTGTAGGAAGTTTCTGACTTCTCCCAGGTGTTGGTCTTTTGTCAGGGTGGCCTTTAGGTCCTGTGCAGCTACCAAAGGATTGGGTGTGAGACCTGTGGCTGGGTGGGGTTCTGAAGTTACTTCTCTGTCTTTCTAAAGGGCTATTTACTAAAGGCCGTAAGTCCTGTGAAAGAGTCTGGATTCTAGGCAAGGCTGTTGAAAGTGCGGGGCCGGGGCCGGGGCCGGGGCCGGGGCCGGGGCCGGGGCCGGGGCCGGCAGAGGATGACCGTCCTGCTTCCAGTGCCTGCACTGTTCACTGAGGGGCCTAAGGGCTGTGCTTCCTGTCTGCTTCCATCTCCAGCTCACCGCTGGGAGTGCTCCAGGCCTCAACTTGACGACCCTTGTACTTCTGTCTCTGAGACCTGGAGGACCCTTCTTCCCAGAGTCTTCTCCCATGATTGGACATTTGGATTCTTCTTTGTTGCCTTCTAATGCTGGGGATTTAATCTAGGGTATGGTCCATGTTGGGCAAGGACCTTACTACTGAGATGTGTGGCCAGCCCTTGTACTGTCTTTTGAGATAGTTGCACACTAAGTTGTCCAGGTTGGCCTTGAACTCACTCCTGACAGGCCACTGCATCTGAGTAGTTACGATTACAGGCCTGTGCCTGTCATTCTAAAGAGAAACCATCTAGTTTGTCGATATTGGAACTAATTTTAGTTTATAAAGTTTATAACCTCGCTGTCTTAGTTACTGCTCTATTGCTGTAAAGAGACACCATGACCAAGGCAACTTAGACAAGAAAAACATGTAACTGGGGTTGAGGGGGAGCTTCCAGTTTCAGAGGGTTAGTATGTAATCATCATGAGAAGCACGGGTAGCATGAAGGACGGCAGGCATGGAGCTGGATCAGTAGCTGAGAATTTACATTCTCATCAAAGGTGGAAGGCACATGCAAGTACGCATGCGCACAAACACACACACACACACACACACACACACACACACACGCACAGAGAGAGAGAGAGAGAAAGAGAGAGAGAGAGAGAGAGAGAGAGAGAATTTAAGACTAGTCCCTGGCATGGGCTTTTGAAACCCCCCAGTAACACACCTCCTCCAACAAGGACACACCTCCTAATCCTTCCCAAACAGTTCCCCAGGTGGGAACTAGACATTCAAGCAGATGCGCCTATGAAGGCCAATCTTGTTCAAACCACCACATTTGCCCCCAGATAGAACATCTCTCCAGACAGCTGTAGCTTATAGGATGCCAGGTCTTGAGGTTCTGTCTCTATAAGCTGGAATCTCCAGAGCCAGTAGCAGTGAACTGTTTGCAGACAACAGCCTGGAAGATGCACCATTTTCAAGGCTCTCTTCCCAGGAGGGAGTGGCTTGTGGCCTTGCTCTTTAGGATGGGTGAGAAGTGATTCGGAGATGGGTTCCTCTGGCTTGAGTCTCCCAAGCTGGTCTGGCTCTGTGAGGAATGATTGTGGCTTCTGTCTATGTCTTTCTGCCATTTTCTTCCCCCGGAACATCCTGGTTGGAGAAGGGATTTAGTGAGGAAGTGGGAATTGGCACCAGCATTGGAAAGCTGGCTTCAGGGTTGAGGTCCCCTGGGAGGGAGCACACACCATTCTTCTCTGTCCCCAGCACTGAAGACAGCCCCGGGAGAAGCTCAGCTGTCTGCTGGCCTTGTGCATCTGGTGTGCCCAGCATCACGCCCCAAGCATCTAACTCAGAGTCTGGTGGCCTTGAAGGTCAGGCGTGGGGTGGACCACAGAGAACAGATCTATCCTTGTGGCCCAGACAGGAAGCCAAGGCCCTGAGTAGAGCTGGGTTTAAGCTGTGCTCAGGAGCCAGTCAGCCATCCTCCTGCACCTGCCCTGTGTGTGTCTGTTCTTATGGAGTGCCCAGTCATTGCAGAGCGCCTGCTCGGTGCCAGGCATCATGAAAAGCCGTGGAGAGAGACATCCACCTCATGGACAAAGCAGAGAAGTTTCTTTCAAAGCTCTGCAAGCGTGATGCTTGTAGATGCGGGGAGTATGAGGCCTAAGGACGCTCGGGCAGCGGAGTCCCCAAGGTCTACTGGGAAGTGAGTTGTAGCCTGAACCCCACAATGGTGGTTGAGTAGACGGAACTAGTGACCCTAGAAGCAGGAACAACCTGTGGGGAGATCAGCTCAGGGGTGGGAGGGTCCAGTTTGCCAGGTGGAGCTGCTACAGGGCTGTGTTTGAAGCTAGGGTAGGTGGAGCCAAATCTAGGAATGTGGGCACATGACACGAAGGGGACCTCATGCCGTGGCCTTGGAAAGTCCCTACAGGACCCTAGTGCTGTATGTGGCAGATATAGTATTGGGTGGCACTGTCCTGTTATATACTGTGGAAATAGACTCAGCAGCTCTTCTCTTCACCCCATGCCCAGTGCCTATCACGGGGCTCCGGAAGGCTTGAGTCCCTACGGTTGGAACACACGCAGTGGTATAATGAGTGCTGCGTTGCTCCCCCCTCGGCCCAAGGAACAAAGATGCTTGTCTCAAACTTTCCTTTGCAACCTCCCAAGCCAGGCCTCCGTCGTCTGCATCTCTCAGCAACTCCCGTCTTCCAGGCTCCCACAGAACAGCTCGCCAAGCTTTGGAGGCCCAGTGGCTTTTCTAGCCCAAAGTCCCAAGGTCCTTCTACAACGCCCCACAGAACTTCATGGTCAAGGCGGTCACAGCAATACCTCACTCCTGCTATCGATTTCTGTGCTGGTCAGGGTTACTATCAATGAAGCTAAAGAGACTTGGAGAGGAAAGGCTTCCATTGGCTTACACAAGTCCATCACTGAAGGAAGTCAGGGCAGCAACTCAAATGGGGCAGGACCCTGGAGGCAGGAGCGGATGCAGAGGCTGTGAAGGAGTGCCCCTTACTGGTTTGTTCATCATGGCTTCCTCAGCTGGCTTGCTTATAGGACTCAGGACTACCAGCCCAGGGTTTGTACCACCCACAATGGGCTGTGCCCTCCCCCATCAATCACTAATTAAGAAAATTAAGGCTTATCGATCGCTCAGTCTTATGTAGGTATTTTGTCAATGGAGACTCCCTCCTCGCAGATGACTCTAACTTGGTTGACATAAAGCTAGCCAGCATAATGCTGCTGGGAACAGTGGAGTCACTGGTGACACTGGCATGGCTGGGTCTTGGTCCGGGCCACAGCGTGGAGCCTTCACGCGCTCCCATTCACAGATGCAGGGGTGTGATTTGAGAGGCCAGCGGCAGCCCATCTTAGGCTACCACGCGTGTTGCGTCAGCTTGTAGAACCAACCTCTGGCTTCCTGCCCACAGGCTCGCCTGGGTCCTGCTGCTGGGGAGGTAGAGCTAGGCAATCAGCTCTGAGTTACTCGTTTTCAGGAGTGTAGGAGGAGGCAGGCCCCGCAGAAGGCACCTAACCGAATTTCACAATCAGACTTACCACATCTGCCCCAAAGGGAGCGTGGGAGGCTTTAATCTCTCGGCAGTCAATTGAGGCAGCTGTGAGCTTGATGCAAATCAGGCTTTCAAACCTCTTCCAGTTTAAGGACAACTTTGTTGATTTGTTTTTCTCTTTCTGTTGCGTGTTTGCATGTACATGCGTGTATGTGTGTGTGTGTGTGTGCGCGTGCGCACATGTGTGCATAAATTTTGTGTATGCGTGTGGGCACATGTGTGGGTGCTCATGTACATGTGAGAACATGCATGTGAAGGCGTGAGGTTGACGTGAAGAATTATCTTCCATCACCCTTCCACTTTATTCGTCGACACAAGGTCTCTCAACCTAACCCAGAGCTTGTTTCTACGTCTGGTCTCACTAGCCAGCTCGCGCTGACTTTCTTTCCCAGGCTGGGATTGCAGGGAGAGCCACCATGTAAGTTCCAGGGATCAGAATTCTGGTGCTCACACTTGTGTGGCAAGGGCTTCCCCGCCTCTCCTCTCCTTGGTGAGTATCTCACACTCTCTGATGCTGAGCATCTTGTACCATTTACTTCTCCACCCTTTGTAGCCTGTCTTTCTCCTTCTCATGCTCATCAGCTCAGGCATCTTTGTGTTTCTTCCTCTCCATCCGTCGTATCCAAACACCTAGACCCGTGCCAGGCATGCAATGTGGTCCTTCCTCCCCGTGGGATGAAGGTGAGCCCTCCACACAGGCTGGGCTCTCACCTTGTCCTGAAACCCTGGCCATGACAATGGGCTGGGAAGACGAGCATACATCCTAGCCTACTGAGACTTTTCATTCTTAGGTGCCTCAAAGAGTAGAACAGCCGTGCCTTGATTGTCTTCCCTGGTCTGTGTTCCACTGTGACCCGCAGACTACTGGGCAAAGCAGGGCCATGGCTTAGGAAGGTCCGACATTGCATGTGGTAAGGGAATGCTGGGGACTTTGGGAAACCGGGGAAAGTGACACTTCTCACCTCCCGTCCGCATGTACTGTAGTCCGCAGCTTCCATTGTTCTGTGGTTTATTCTCTCAGGTGCTTTTACCTATGAGTCAGCCCATGATATACGTCTAACTTCTAGGGTAATTCAGCATCACACCTTACAAAATCACAGAGACAGGGCTGGAGAGATGGTGTAGCAGTCCAGAACCCCGTCTAGTCTCCCAGAGGACCGGGGTTTGGTTCCCAGCACCCACATCAGCTGGCTCACAACCT